GGGGCGCCATTCTTTCGTACAGATGCGGCTGTGTGCCATTGCATACACTGCTGCGCTACAGTAACCTTACGCCCAGTTTTATTCAATGTCGAGGAGAGACTTCGTGGAAGATGCGTCTATATTCGAGCGGAGGGGGATACAGATTTTCAGATAGCTTCCCCTTCGTCACCATTCCCCAACAGGTCAAAGCACAAAGGGCCACGATAGCGGACTCTATGTGTTATTCTGTTAATATATGTGAAAAGATAGCGGTTATGTGATAATACGTGTACATACTGCGATTGCGCCATAGTCCATGTTTGATTGCAGCTGCTTATTTTTGTGGAGCAGACTGATAAATAAAAAAAATAAATAAGAGAGCTCTTCATGATACAGCAAATGACATAACCTCGACAAAAATTTTCGAGTTACGAAAGTCAGGGGCGCAAACAATGAGAAGCCCTGCAAGTCTGCCGAGGGGACTGGTCACCATCACACGGAAACGGTGTATCTCTTCTTGGGAACGGTAAACATGTCCTGTAAAGTTACTGTGGTTTTTTACTACCGTTCTGCTCGACTCACTTCCTAGACCAGCGATTTGACGAGTGCCAGACTTTTATGATTTCGGCGAGAGGCGAAAGCGTGCGGCTTTATAAATCGGAGTTTGCCACGCTCCCCAAACAATATGGAGCGTGGAGAAACCGTGGGAGCATCCTTGGGTTGGGAGTACTGAATGTATACTCACTCATAACTCCATGGTTTACTACATTTTATGTAACTTTTTCAAGGGGACCTCTGAGAGGGAAGCACTGACCAGTATCTTGAAGAATAGTTTACTAAGATTTTACATTCTCCCCCTTATTTTTTTTTTAACTCGTACATGCGTTTTGGATCCACCTTCAGCATATGTTGCATTACGCGAATTTGGAGAACCTGGGACTACTTTATGCGTATGTAAATTAGAGGTTTTCGGTCGATGATATCGTTCCTTCCTCGAAAATGCCCACGAGGCTACTGCACAGGAAGAGTCTAGGACTAAAAGATACTCATAGATGTCACACTTTAATATAATCACCAAAACTCAATAAGGTGCTACGTCCCCAACGAATAATGGAACTAGGTGCGAGGTTACTGTAGCTCCGCAAAGTTCGCAACGGCACACACAGCCGCATCTGTACGAAAAGAATGGTCTACGGGCTTTTGTCAACCGCGGCAATGGGTGACTCAGCAATTTGTCGCGTCGTCGGTCGTCTCGCACACTCTCGTCGACGCTGCGTCTCCGCTTAGAAAGGCTAGAGCGTAGACAGAAAGGCATCCACCGATCCCGATTGCCGACGATCACCAGTTCACGTGATTGTTGCGTGCTTTGCTCGTGTTTGGTCACTCTCCGATGCTAATGATTCGTTAAAAAAATAGGAAATCAAGAAGATCTTAACTATAAGAAGGAACTCAGTCCTTCTCGCTTCTTACTTCAAGTATTATTCTTGAAGATGGATATTGTGTGTTTGTTGGAAAACTACATGGATGTTGCAAGTAAGGACTGTCGAGACACTTGCAGCATGTAGATGATTTATCAGACTATCTTTTCCGATCCCGGAAAGCACAGCACTTTCGGGCGAGGAGTGCGAGATTACACGGTCTGTAGGAGTCAGTTGTTATCCTTTCTATAGCACCTTCTATAGCACTCCCATTTCATTCAGGTTTGCAGAGACAATGGAGTGGGATCACTAGTCCACTATGCCAATGATCTTGCTCGCTGACTAAATGCTAAGTCGTATTAAATTTGTCGTCCTACCAGAGCACATGTCAAGGACTACCTACTATCACTTTGGCGTAAGTTCTCGTGAACTAGCCATTCCTGTGTATTGAAGGCGCGCCACTTTCCACTCTGCTTCAGTTTTGAGCCTTTACCTTGAATTCACCCTCCAGTCGCCACTGACACATGTAAAAAGCGATTTATATATTTTTTTATTTATTTGTTACAATAGTGAATCCTCAAGGTGTTCTCATTCAGTCTTAACCTCTCGTGGCTGAAATCACTTCACGTGTCTTCTCCTTACGAGAGATGGCTTTGCAGGAGAGGAGAGACGACGAGCGGACACGCCCATCTGCCGGCGACGGCCGACACACGTCATAACTGCCTCGTCGTCTAATTCTCATAGCTAGAGAAATTTCGGTTGACATCTGCCCCGTAACCGAAAGAATGGCGCCTGTTCCGCGGATGCGTTGCGCGAAATTGATTCCGACGCCTACGAAAATCCTACAGTACGGCGACGGTTTCACTGTAGTTACCGTTTTCGTTGAAAGTTTCTCGGTGATCTCGCCTGCTGGAGTTTTATTACTGGAGGAATAGTTTTGATTTCTGATCTTTTCTTGATAAACATTTGTACCTGAGTGTTTTTATCTCTGTGTCTCTCATAGTTCCACGTTGGCACGCTTGTTTGGCAGCTTAGGTCGTTTCTGTTCGACTGCATAAAATCGACGATTTGTGTGAGTGTTATTTTCCCCCAATCATCTGGATAGGAGACTGAACTGGTCTATTTCGCAGTGAGTTTTTATTCGTAGTTTTGTTCAGTTTTGCTGTCTTTGCTAGATTTAAGGCATCCATGCACTCGAAGCTTTTCTCAGCGTTTCATAAGTTTTGCCCGCAAAAAAAGTAGGAAAGGTTATTCGAAGCAATTTCTTTTGTCTTTTATTCGGTATGCCTTTTGTTGAAATCGGCGCTATACTCACAACAGAAATGCGTAAATTGTCTTTACAATATAGAAAAGCTTTGCAGTTTGACAGGAAATGTTCTAAACTGCTTATGACATAGTGGATGGGGCTCACCGTGAAAAGAAGTTGCACGGTCATCTCTACTCAGCAGCTGTTTCCCCAGGAGGGTTTCCCTGGAGAGCTTGTGTAGTCTTGTTCACTGCGGATGAAGGGGCTTGTCAGGCGGGATGGTTTTGGCGTGTGCCGAGCGCGTTTCCTACCAGTAAATGAAGCGAGCACGCGACAAGTCTATCACATCGTTCCATCAGTCGTTTTCCACTAACTGCTGCCCGCTTCAGCAGCTGCTGGAGACTGGTTGAGCGCCGCGCAAAACCCATCCTACCTGACACGCCTCTTCATCCGCAGCGAACAAGGCTGCACGCGTTATAACATTGATTTTTTATCAACTATAGGTGATTGGTGCTTCCTTCAAGAACCAGTTTAGCTTGGTGAGGGTACCGAAGAGGACTCAGCTTAGTCTGCATAGGCACCTTGTGAAGACCTGTTAATATCTGAGACCGGTGTGACTCACTCGCACCACTTGGCAATTGCACAAGAGCTTACAGGTTTTACATTAGGGAGACCTGTTATGCAATATGAACTTGCATAAAGAACTAGCAAAATGCCCCCTCCAGGCCAACTAACGCCTACCATGATCTCAAGTAAGTTTGGCTTTACGGTAGTACCTGCCGTTCAAGTATGTCCACAGTGCTGAGAAAAAACCTATGCGCTCACTGTTCCTGGAACTTTAGGCTCTGCATGGTGCTACGCTATTAACCAAAATATATCCTAAAAGTGACGTAGGATAGTGCCGTCGCTTTTCGAGGTCTTTTCTTTGCAAAGCTCTCAAGTTTTAAAGACTGTTTTCAGGAATGGGTTCAGGCTCATCGAAGGCTGAACCTCCAATAATCGTTACTTCGAAGATACCATTGTTCTGTCTGAAGAAACTGGGTCCTCGACATGTGCTGGTTGCAGGCGGAGGTGGTGAATCGAAAACCGGTGTTTCGAATTTAATACAGGTACCTTTTTATTGATGTTCTCACTTTTCTTCTCTACTTTTGAACATAACTTGTTGATCTGCGACACTATATGTACTGCTGTCCCGATATGAGTCCCGACACTTTACGTCCTCTACTCTGCACATTTTGCGTAGGATTGGTGCATAAGGCTGCGTTCATACCGTGCGTCAGCGTTTTGAGCGAGCACGAAGGTATAGATATCGATCTAGCGTTCTTTTAGCGTTGACCAGCGTCTTGAGCGTTTCGCGGGCAGTCGCTGAAAACATTGGAGTCAGGGCACGCCATCACGTTGTGATAATTTCCTGAAAAATACGACCCCCCTCGTCATGCTACCTACCACTTTCCTAGATTTTCCCAACTTCCTACCACGTTTTCCATTTTTTCCTGAGAAATTTCAGATTCTTCGGGCCAAGAGATTTTCTTCCTATGAAGGGCAGCGGTGGGGGTGGGGGGGGCCGGGCGCGGTATATACCAATTGCAAACAGAAAACTTCTCAGATTTCCCAACCTAGCGGTTTTTTCCTTTCCGGGAAAATTTTTTGTGCTTCTGGTTTGTTTTTCCCCAGAAATTTTGCTGTCGAGCGGACGGGGGGATTTGGCGGGGGGGGGTCATCCAGGACGTACTACACTATCTTTTCAACGGATCGGCATGCCGTATTTGTATAGCGGTCTTCATCAGCCCACCACTTCTCAACAGATGGCCAAATACGACCCCCCCTTTTTATAGCGTCCGAAACGAAGAGGATGAGCACACTTACCAAAAAATGGTTCTCAGCCGCCAAACATGCCCTGAATCGCGTCACGCCTACGACCTCTCCCCCCCTCCGGGTGATGCCCGCCGGTGATCATCACAACGATGACGTTATCTGATTGGAGTGCGCTCAAAACGAGAAGTCTTTTCCTATACTATCTTAGTCGCTCGAAGCCTGCCTACGCTCAAAATGTGAACGCATAGTGTGACGCCTTGCCTTACCGCCCGCGGTTTCGTAGCGGACATTTTTACTGTAAAAAGTGTACCGCTTCCCATATTAAGTACAGGTATTTTCCATTGTCTTCCAAGTGAAGGTCCCACTTACGGTACCGCAGTTCGAAACTCTCCTATTTTTTTTCTCGTCTATCATTTTACGACGACCTTTCTCTCCATAAATTAGAAGGGAATGAGGTTTCAGAAGGGAAGGAGTCTTACGACTCGCTCTTTAATTAAGAACCCATTCTTTGTGGCCGTCATATCTATGCAAGCCTTTCATCGTCTTAGAAACCCTTATATTTTTATAATAAGTTCGAGAGTAGTTATAACTGGTGTGCCTTTTCAGACCTATCTCTTGACGTTTGGAAACAAAAAAGTTCCAAAAGCACCAACACCATTGAAGGCAATACTTGTTGACACGGTAGTTACTTTTGTTTTTCAAATTGTTCATTGTGGTTATATGCTTTTTTAAAGATAGATACAGACATATATGCAACAATGAATATGGACGTGGTGTGCCGTTCGAATCCCGAACTTGGAAGATATCTCATAGCAGCAGGTCATGGTCAGGTAGGCCGATTTCCTCGTTTTCTTTTTATTTTCATTTTGACTACTTCCTTTTACTCAGTGTTCTGGTAAGCACCTTATCACGGTTCTCCTTTTTTAGTATGAATCGTTACACCATGTGTTTCCTTGTTCGATGTAATACAGTAGCTGCAACCACTATAGTCGTTAGTACCCTTCAGGGGCATCTAGGAAAGTTCTTGTGCAACAGGTAGAAGGGGTGAAATCTTCCACCACAAGTCAAATAACGAAGGAGCTCGGGAAGGATTAAGCAACGCCAAGTGCGGCAATTCTATTTGACTGGCATTATTCCCAGTTTCGCCCAAGGATCCCTTCAAATGAGGCACTGTAGAAACTAGATGTGGGTACACTGTTACGTCGAAAAAGACCACTTGTTGTTTCTACGGAATGCCTTGTAATGCAATATATTGATTTTAAAGGGAAACTGCACACCTGTCTGCAAGGAGGTCCTTGCAATGTGCGCGGCCGTTCCTCCCGTTCCTTGTCCTTCACTTTTGTGAGGTGAGTGGGCCACTTTCCTCGCTCAGAATCGCACGAGAACGAGTACCAGTACGCTACAGCCCGTTCCCGTGCTCTTTTGAGCGGAGAAAGTGGTACGTTACTGCGGCTGTGGACCCACTCTCCGCGCACATACCAAGGATCGTCCTTGCAGATGAGTGTTTAGTATGTCTTTGAGTAGCTGAAAATCCCACTAAAAAGTCGTGTTTACGCGAAAGTTTTACCAGTGGCATCACTGCAAAATAGACATTAAATCGTCAATATTTCGTGGGATCAGCAGTAACTGGTTAGCTTGAATTAGGACCATCGCTTCTATGTCCCCTTGACATGGAAGCATTCATCAACAGGACTCAATGTCTTTTGTCTGCCAAGAAAAGAGCATGCCAACCCTCCTGTTCTACGACTTGGTGTCAGCTACGATGTTGAATAAGTGATGTAATGAGCTTCATCGAAGCGTCACTGGCTGCTATTTTTGACAGTACGGTAACTTCAGTAGGCGAACAACCATACACCGTACCCCCAAATGAGCCGTAAATAAATCTGGATGCACACCAAACACAGTATCTCACGACAACAGCGTCGAAATTGCTTGGGGAACGTACGTGTTGCGATGATAAGGATGTCCAAAGGATTAGAACGATTGCATGGGATCAGAACGATTGCACAGAGTAGTGTTCGTAAGAACTATAGGTCCGTCTTTCATTCTTAAATCCCTCATTCATTTCAATCATTTTTCTATTTTGTAAGCCGCGCCGGACGGCGCGGCACTTTGTTTT